GTGTGTGTGTGTGTGTGAGATACTATGCTTGGCAGCACAAAGACAGGGGTGTCAACAGCAGGATGGGGTGTGCTTGGCAGTAATAAACTTTGTTGACTGTAGTCCAGATAGCAAAGACAAATAGAGTCCTCTCTCATTGTTGACTGTAGTTCTGTTCTCTGATGCTGCTGAACACACCAAATGATTGGGCACTCAACAACTGTTCAAGGGGAAATATGGGGTCAGGTTCCTGTAAGCCTGTGGTTAGATTCCCATCAATGATTAAATACACCACCTTGATTTCTGTGTGTTTGACACAGGTCTCATCGATGAGTCACCAACATTTAACTCAGTACAACTCAGGCCTGAACCAAGCTTCCCCAACACCTCTTCCTCCTAAAGGCCTTCCTGTCCGAGGCAACCTACACAGGGCTCCGCACTCTGCTTGGGGGCCATTTTAAACAGCAAAACCACTACCAAACAGCACAGGAACGCCCAACACACAGCAGAAAGAAGGAGGGCCGAGTGTTGTCATGTTGAACCTCGTTAGAGAACACATCCACCGGGTGACTTAAATTCTCATTGCTCTACACATGAATGGAGAAGGGCTGTGGGGTTCCAAATAACCTTTAAGGAGTAAGGGAATTTGCAAGATGCCATCTACGAATAATAAGGATCGACCGTGTAAAGAAAAACACAAGTCAAGATGATCTTTTGGGCATTAGGCGGACATTGAATAAGAGCCCTTACCCTTGGGAAACAGAAGTGGGAAGCTGGTGCTTGTTGGCCTAGACACTCGCCTCAGTACAGCCACCTTTGTGTTTGGAAACAGATCGATTCATCAAAGGACTGAGTTGCTGAAAAGTGCCAACCAGGTCAAGATCAACACCTTAAACTGGGCCCAGGACAATACTAAGGCTCATGGGCCTGTGAGAAGCTGCCTGGCTCCCTGTTCACCTGGGGTTTCCATTTGAGGAGAGCTTTGTCCGACATTGGAAAGGTGTGGGAAGGAATAATGTTGATGACTTTGAAAACCAAGGAGTTCATGGGCACCTCACCCTCCCTGGAAGAGCAGTGATCTTAGTTGGCTTCCAAGGGGGTCAGTATTGGAGTTGCTGACTGGAGAGACACCCCTCCCCCTAACTTCCTGTTATCAAAAGCAAAAGGAACTGAATACCCGGGACTGGCTTCTGTACATACAGGAGATAGAGGGGCAGCCTTTCCTGTCGACGACCAGCCTTCTGGGAGCTGAGGCTGAGCAGGACAATAGCTGTGAGGAGATATCCTAGGCCTGGTTGAAAAGTATTTATTTGAAAGCTTTTAATGAATCTGTCACAGATTGTTTGCTTTCTATTTTCAACTGCCTCATAGGCAAGTGAAATCTGGATAATGACCACAGACCTGATGCCTTTGAATTGTGGTGTTGCTGAAAGATATCAAATAGAGTACAGACTGCCAAAAGAACGGCCACGTCTGTCTGGGAAGAAGTGCAGCCAGCTTGCCCCGAAGGTGAGAATGGTGAGATTTTGTCTCACGTCCTGTGGTCACGGGGTCACGATGGACTAGCACCTGGGGGAGGCCGTCATGCCCTGTAAAGTGCAACTTGCACCGCCATCGAGCCAATGCTGACTCAAAGCCACCCCTGTGCATTTCCAAGATCGTAACTGTTTATGGGAAAAGAAAGCCCAGTCTTTCTCCCACGAGGGTCGGTGAGAGAGAGAGACCATCGATGAGACGGGCTGATCCAGCGGCTGCGACAACCGGCTCACTCAGAACAGGGCTTGTGAGGAGGTGCGGGTGGTGCAGGTGGGCAGCGGCTCAGTCTTCGTGCACAGTGTCACTAGGAGTCCGAACTCACTCAGGGCGACCTCACAACTTGACTCTTGCAAGGTGGCCTTGAGTTTTGAACTCGACCAACTCCTAGAATAGCAATCTCCTCAATGTCACACTTGATGTGCATGTAAATCTACTTTTCTTGGGAAAAATGTTGTCTGAAGACTAATCCCCTTCAAGGGCTCAAGTAGAAAATGTTTTGGAAATGAAGATGGAAACATATGTACAAATATGCTTGATACAACTGATGTAGGAAATGTTGTAAGAGCTCTAAGATCCCCCAATAAAATGATTTAAAAAAAAGAAGAAGAATCTCCCACAGAATGAATAGTCAGGTGCTGACTGCCCTCGGTGTCATCTCAGGTAATCCAAGCCATACCTGCAGAACACGAAAGGCAATTCCAAAACCATCTTCTACATTTTTCCCTCCCAGCATGACCTGCAAAGGGGAGGGAGACTGGTTATTAAGAGAAGCCACAATTGCTGGATTAACCCTTCCATCAGGAAGGCCACTGAAGGGTCCTACTTAGTCAATTACTCAACACATACTTGTTGAGCTCCCACTAGGTGCCAAGCTGTCGGGATCCAAAAGCAGTGAGCAACAGAGACTTGTCTCTAGCCTTCTTTGGCTCACGACTGAGTCGGGAGGAGCCATCAAACAAACCCTGGGCATCCTAAGTCAGTAATTACAACGATGACGAGTCTGTGGAGAGAACAGTCGGCCTGAGGTCCAAGCCACATACACACCTTGCAGGCCACGTCCATTTTCATGTGATTATTTCCGAACAGGGTGGGCAGAGGCAGGGTGGAGTCTTGAGAGATCCCAGCACTTTCACAGCGATGTAAAAATCTGGTCACTTCCATCTGTAGCTGGAGCGTATTCATGTGTCTATGGTGAGAGATGTACACATGAGAGGTCCATGAGGGGCTGCAGGAGAACTGGGGCTGGGTGACCAAAAAGTCATCATAAAACAGTAAGAGAAGGGCAAAGGAAATGGAGTGGGAGAAGTAGGGGGTGGGGAAGAGCCAAAGTATCCTCTGAGCCATTATATTTATGACGAGACAAAAACAGGTGGTCTAGTGCAGGGATCCTCAAACTTTTTAAACAGGGGGCCAGTTCACTGTCCCTCAGACCACTGGAGGGCCGGATTATAGTTTTAAAAAAAACTATGAACAAATTCTTATGCACATTGGATGAGTCGGCTGCTAAGCAGGACAGGCAGCAGCGGCAAAAACACTCAGAGGGCTGGATAAATGTCCTCGGTGGGCCGCATGTAGCCTGCAGGCCGTAGTTTGAGGACCCTCGGTCTAGTGTCTTGGGCAGGTCATCAAGAGACACTAGAAGAGGCCATCATCCTTGGAAAAGTAGAGGGCCAATGGAAAAAAGAGAAATGTTCTGTAGGAAGGACTGAAATAAGTGCCACAAAAAGCATGCAAGCACACCAGCAACCCCAAGGATGGCTGCAAGACTGGGCAATGTTTCATTCCATGGGAGCAGGCTGTTATCAGTCAGTCAGCACGGAGTCTACAGCTGCTCACAACTACCAGTGCTCACAGCGATCTGCAGTCAGGGCACACTGTGGAGTAGGACAAGGTCCAGTCAGTCAGTCAACAGTGGTTTAAGTGAGCACGTGTGGGTCAGGCTCTATGTTAGCCGGTCACAGAGTGACAGGGGTCCAGAGTGACATGGAGTCTGTCCACAGAGAGGAGACAGGCGAAAGCAGTGGTTCTCAACCTATGGGTCGCGACCCCTGTGAGGGTCGAATGACCCTTTCACAGGGGTCGCCCGATTCATAACAGTAGCAAAATGACAGTGATGAAGTAGCAATGTAAATAATTTTATGGTTGGGGGGGTCACCAAAACCAGAGGAACTGTGTGAAAGGGTGGCAGCATGAGGAAGGCTGAGAACCACTGGCCTGGAGGGAGGAGGACCCATGGAGCAAGGAGGTCTCTGAAGGCCACCCATGGTGACAGTGGAGTGAGCTCCAGCCGCAGGTTCAGGCGACCCAACAGCGGAAGGGCAGGGCAGGACTGAGTGTGCTGCAGGAACCTCCGATGGCCACAGTGACGGGAAGCTTCGCAAGGGCGCAGAACAACACGAAAGTAAAGATGACAAGGGACTAATCCCGGATGGGTTTTTTGCCCAGGAAACAGAGTTGGCTGCTGCCTGACTACGTAACCCTTCTTGACCTTTCCAGGCTTGTTCTTGGTGCGATCCTCCAGGGGTGATTCCTCCTAACTGCTTTTCTCCAGGGGTCTGGGGTGGGGCAAGCCCAGCTTCAGCACCACTAGACACTGTCCCCGCTCTGCCAGCCCACCGGGAGGATTCCCTACGCCGGCAGCTACCTGGACACATCTGCCGCAGTCATCTTCTTGCGGAAGAGGGTGGTTTTCTTCCTCCCGGAGCTGCGGGATGTTTCCTGGAGGTAGATCTTCAGGTGGTCTTTGGCCTTAAGCAGCCACGAGAGCTTCTCTCCGAGCTCTGTGTACGTACTTGCTTTGTGACTGAAGAACCGTATACAGGTCATGGCGGCTCGGACTTGGTCCTAGAAGAGGGAGATAAATATTGGGGTCAAAGGTGATCAAGGATCTTGCAGCGAAGAGTGAGTAGAGGATCCTAACCTGACGTCCACCTATGCAGTCTGTGGCTAGCCCTCACTCCCGTCAATGGCTGATAATGCTCTCTATTCTACATCAGTCACCCCAAAAGTTAAGAGCGCCCAGTGGGCCGAGCTCTTAGGCAGGGCATCAGTCCACCTCTTAAAGATGGCCAAAAAAAAAAAGGGTACTTCCGAATCTCCATTCAACTTCTTGCCTCCACTCTTGCTGTGATATTGACTAAATCAATTTCTCTGTGCTCTGGTGCTGGCAATCCTCAGAGACGGACTGAGAGATGACGGCTCCCCTCCTTTCAGGAAATGGTAGTTGGTGTCCCACTGTTCTTCATGAAGTTTGCATTCATGTCTCATGCTTTCCTTCAAATTCTCACTTTCGTCTTTTCATCCCCTGGATTCTGAAGAATGCCCCTGCTAGTGAGATTCAAGTTTGCCTTTCATATTTATACATAAGCCCTGGTGGTGTAGTAATTATGTATTGGATTGCACTCTGCAAGGTCAGCAGTTTGAAACCATCAGCAGCTCCAAGGGAGAAAGATGGGGCTTTCTACTCCTGCAAACAGTGATAGTTTCAGAAACTCACAAGGCCAGTTCTACTCTCTTATAGGATTGCCAAGAGTTGGCCTCTACTTGATGGCAGAGAGAGAGAGAGAGAGAGAGAGAGAGAGAGACTTACATTTTGCTGCAAATCTATCCATGAACGTGGTGGAGTATACAGTTAAAAAGTTATGAAAACTTCTCAGACAAAACCAAACACTTAGAGGAAGCAAGTTGCTGGGCCTGGGGGATCGGGACCATAGTCTCAGTTGTCACCAAAGTCAATTGGTGTGACATCGGTCTACATCTACTGTACTGAGTATCGAATGCAGTCCTAAATGTGGACGGTCATCTCCGGTACATCTATTGGTCTCTCATCATCCAGGGGAAGGAAGAGTAGTGAAAACAGCTGACCATGTAAACATTTGTCTCCATAATCCTGATAACAGAAGAACTAGATGGTGTCCATTTACCACTACCAACTGCTTTGAAAGGGATCACATTAGAAGAAGGCCCTGGAGAAAACCATGGAGCAGAAATCAAAATAATAAAAAAGACCAGGCTAGCTTATTGGTTGGAATTGAGACCGGTGGACCCCCCCAAGACTCTTTATCCTGCTCTTTAGATCTGGAATGAAACTAATCAACCATTTGGGATCAGAAGGGCAGTGTTGACCCAAGGACCAAGGACAGGGCTTAGGAAAGGAGCAAGAATGGAAACAGGAGACACAGGGAGACAGAGGGATAAGCCTTAGTACACTGAGAGTGCAGCGGAGGAGATGAAACAGTGTGGACGGCGTGTTGACTATACAGCGATATGACTCTGTCACCTTGACTTAATTCACAATGAAACGTTTAACCTCTTCAGGTTGGAAAGCCAAGTATTACTTAACAATACTAAAGGGGAACGTGGATTTACTCTAGGGTCGTTAAGAGAGCAAGGCCGGGGACCAAAGGACAGTCTTGTCCCTCCGTCTTGCACAGCCTCCCAAGCATGGCAGGGTGTCTGGGACAGAGCTGAAGGCAGGGCGGGGCTACGGTTACCTTCATGAACTGCTGCAGCTCATACAGAATATGGTAGTAGTTCTTCTTCTGCAGATGTTGGCAGGCAGCAATCAAGTACTTTCCCCAGCTTTCCAAGGTGGGATCAATGGATTCTAGCAGGTTTTCCAAAAGGTGCAGCTTCCCACTCTTATAGCTCGGCTGGAAAATGCCTTCTATGAAGACTTCGGGAGGACTCTCCTGGAGCAGGGGAGGCGAGAAGGCAGAAGGCCCCCGGGCTGCCACTCGTGCCTGGGATTCACTCTGAATTTCCTCCATTCACACCCCGTCCCCCAAAGCACTGCTCCTATTTCTCACCAGGCCTACCATCTTCCGCCCCTGCCTTCCTTTTGTCTAAGACCAGAAAATCAACCTCAGTGACTCAGTAGAACTTCAGTCAGAGCGTGAGAACTCTCAGCTCAAAATCTTCCAATGGTTTCTCTTCCTACTCAGGGCCAAAGTCTAGGTCCTCACAAGTCAAGGCTCCGTCTGGCATGGCCCATCACCTGATTTTCCCAGCTCACTCTGCTCCACTCTCCCTTTGCACTCGCTGTCCCCTTTGCCCACCTGTATGACTTAGTCCCCCCGCTCCTTCTGACCTCTCCTCCAACGTCACAGGTTCCTAGGACCCCACCCCAAATTGCACAAGCTCCCCCTGCCCCTTTTTAGTTTGCTTATTACTCCTCACTAGTGTTTTTCATGGTAATAACCTTATTTATGATTTATCTCCCTACTATAACGTCATTATGAAGGAGCTATTTTTGCCTGCTGTTTTGGTTGCTGCACCCCCAGTGCCCAGAACGGCCCCTCGCTACTGAATAACTTATGAGGTGTTGGTGGCTCAATGGGAGAATACAGTCTTTCATGTGGGAGATCCATGCCTGGTTCCTGCTCAAATCTATCTGTCCGTGAAAGCCAGTGTATTGCTTTGACACTGAACACAGCAAAGTCTCTAGACTAAGGTGGGCTGAGAAGGCCTGCCAATGAACTTCGGAAAACCAGTCAATATAATAAACCTTATGGATCATAATGGTCCTATCCATAACCCAGCTGGGTTATGGTATAAAACTGAGCAGAGATTTGTGGTTTGGGTGCGTGGGGTCATTATGAGACAGGGGCCACCACTCAGGGCAGCCACATCAGTGTTTTAGAGAGCTCCTCTTGGGGCAGTGTGGTAGGTAAAGTGGCAAAAAGGACAGGACATAGGGTTCAAAACAATACTGTCACACTCCAGATCAAAGGGTTCTCAACTTGTTGGGCTTGTGGTTGTTCGGTGCCAGTGAGTGGGGTCCAACTCTCAGTGACCCTCTGTTCAACAGCAGGAGACTCTGCTCAGGCCTGTACCCTCCTCACCACTGATCTTAGGTTGGAGCTCACTGTGGTTGTTCATTGCCAGGGGAGCACTGAATAATTGAGTCATTTTTTCTGAAAGGGGGCAGTAAGCCAAATAACTCACTCACTGTCATTGAGTTGATTCTGACTGAAAGTGACCCTACAGAACAGAACAGAACTGCCCCCGTGATGTCCAAGACTATAAACCTTTCTCACACGTGAGACCAGTCCCTGGCGAAGGGCATCATGCTTGGTAAAGTAGAGGGGCATTAAAAAGAGGAAGACCCTTGACAGGTGGATTGACACAGTGGCTACAATGGGTAGGTATCTGCTTTTGCAGACCATGCCCTCCCCAGCAGGAGGCAGTATCACCCACTAGGGAAACACTGCTTTAGATAGTCAGCTGTAATATTCACAGTGTTGCCCACCCCCCCACCGGTGTTCTGACCAGTCTCAGAATAAAGGTAAGATACTCTGGTCCAAGGGTAACTGTGATTACAGGATAAGCAAATGTAAGTATGGGCCAGTGCTGCAGTGAGCTCATTCCAAGATCATTCAGTAAGCAGCTTAACTCTCTGGGCGAGTCATCTGCGAGGGGACAGGCTTGGGAGCTTCCGTTGGTAAGTTGGGCTAGGGAAAAATAGCTTTACTTCAAAACTCAAGGGGGAAATTGTGCAAAATACCCCCCAAACCTTACTGCTGTTACTCTCTGCCACGCTCTCTGCTCCGGGGACCCTGGCCTCTGCACTACTTGCTGCTTCCTGCACCTGGATTGTCTGCCCCCCACCCCCACCCCACCTGCACGGCTCACTCCCTCAAGGTCTATGCATGCCACTTTCCCTGGGCATTCTATCACTCCCCAGCTGCCACTGGGTTTTCTTAGAACTCCGTTCCAGACCCCGTGACTCTGGCCTCATTCTCGAGGCCTGGTTATTGGCTGAGGCGGTCGTGAAAACATTTCCCTTGCACTGTCCTGTAGGGGTTTGGCTACCCAACAGCGAACTGGAGAGCTCTCGAGGCAATCCTAGAAGAGATGTCTATTTGGAAACTGTCATCTGATGCCATTTTGACCTGGGACAGCAGCTCAACACTGAAGTATACCCTGAGCTTTTCTACTAGCATATAACCAACCCTTAGTATAACGTTCCTCAGAAGTTACCGTGGAACTCTGAGGTGAACAAAGGGCATGTCAAAGGGTGAAACAGAGTCCTGATTTTGCTTAGCAATGGCTCCAAAACGCGCTCAGAGGTACCTGGGCCTCCTGGGGAGGAGGGCATAGGAT